TCCCCCCCTCCCCCGCCAGCTCTGCTTCTGCCGGCCAGTTCCCCAGCCAGCCCCACAGTCTCCCACAGCCAGCTTCACTGCCCCAGTGAGCCGGTTCCCACCCCCGTGATCTCCCCTGGCCAGGCCCTGCTTCCACCGGCTGATTCCCCTCCCTATCTCCCCTGGGCACCTCCATTGCCTGCGGCCCATATCCAACCCCTCCTCCCCCCTCCAGAGCCAGCAGTAAGAGCTCACCTGGTAACCCTCACTATGCCTCTGCTGGGAGCCTGAAACATACGGCTGCATCCGCCCAGCCCGGCTGAGGGCTTGGGGAACCCAGCACTGCAAGGACAGTCTGGGAACCCGGAACACCCTGGCAGCCACGCTGAGGCCAGGTATTTTTTTCCCAGGGCCCGATATCAGGCCATGGCCCATAGTTTGGGAAATGCTGGTCTAAACTAAAGAAGCATAAATTCTTTGACTTTGATTATGACAGTTCTGGAAATCACATGAAAACTACAAGAGGGTTAGTTAAATAGAAAGGAAAGTGCAAGAGGAATAGTTAGGTAGAGGTAAAACTATTGCACAATGTAATCATAGCTGATTTTTCTGGAAATCTCACTAACTGGCTAATGAATTAACCCCTTCAGTGATATGATTCCTAACGTAAACATCGCCCTGTTTTCAATTGCTCTCTGAGTCAATTTTTTTGACCCTCATGACTTAACATGTGATTTTTTTTTACCCATATTTTGATAGGATTTTGAAAATAAAGGGCTAGTTTTGGATCTCAATTATACTGGAGTAACTGCATTCAGGGCGGGATTAAGACCTTTAGAGGCCATAAGCACTGAAAAGATTATGGTGCCCCCCCCATATGTAATTCTAAATAAAAATAACACTATACCGTAAAATCTCTTTTTTTTTGGTGCCCCTTCTTTGCTGGTGCCCTGAGCACGTGCTTAGTCTGCCTATTGGGTAATCCAGCCCTGACTGCTATAACTTCTGATTTATCCCACTCTGAGAATGGAATCGGGCCCATTAAAAAGAAAAGTATTCTATTTCCCTCACTCCTCCTCTCGTACTTCTTCTTTCTAGTTCTATATTAAACTAGGATAGAAGTATGGAGGAGGTCCTATAACTCATCTGTAACTAGTAATTATCATTTCTTTTAGATATATTAGTAATTATAGGCCAACTAACAATTTTTAAGATTGATAAATTAGATGTAAAAAACCCCCCAAAATAACTAGGCAGTCTTTTTATATGCCAAATTCCAGGAGCTCTTCCTCACTAACAATTTTTAACTCTTTCAAAGCCAGGAATACTTATAGGTAGATAGTTATAGAATTAGTGTACTAACATACTGACACCTCGTGGTCCTTCAGTGATATTACAAATTTATACCTGCAATGCAAGCTGTCATGAAGCAGGCGACAGTACCAGCAACCATCGCTCTAAAGGCACTATCAGCAATGTCCCTTTTTTTGGAAGGAGCCATAGATGCTGGGAAGAAAATTGGAAAAATCAGAAAAAAAGATGAAATTCATAGCAAGCATATCCTCTTGAAAAGCAAATTGCAAGTTACAGTACTGACCAATCAGAGCAAGTAAAATAAATCTGGTATTCTCAGTGGGGTATGCAAATGCAGAATATGCAGTGGTTTTCTTTCTACATAAAAGTGAACTGCAAATACAAAATGTAATTTCCATTTACCTGAACAATATGTGCTGAATACCCCACTGAAACTGGTTGATAGGTACCAACTACTGTCAAACCACTTTTTTTCCTTCTATCAACTGTCACACCCACTGATCTCTGCTCATCTATGTTGCCCCAGCACACACCGTTCCCGGAGAGCAGAGCTGTCACAGAACCCCAATGCAGACAGGAGACAGCTTATATGGGATCAGGTAAGAATATTTTTCAAAGTTCATTTTCAATTGTTTGATTATCCTGAAGAACGGGAAAGTTGGACATTGTTTATAAACTGATTTGCTTATGTGGCATTCTAACAGAAAGCAAGCCAATATTTTCCAAAATATCAGCTGGAATACAACAAACCTAATGAAATGATTTATTCTGAACAAAGCCAGAGGGCTGCTCTGTAGCACTGGCTGTCGATGGCCATGAAGGTAGGGCACAATAGCAGAGGACTGCCAGGGTGTACGAATGCCCTGACTACAATTCCAACCACAGTGGAGTGGAGCATAGGGATTTCCCCTGCAGATTTTAACCACACAAGAATCCCACTAAAGGGGAAGTTCTTCAGTGACTGATTCATTGAGGTTAAGGGTAGTTTTACATAGCGGAGTGAGGCAAAAGCTGTCCCAATGCAGCCAAGAAGCAGGGCTTTAGTGATGTATTGAAGTTAATCAAGAATGTATCCCACAGAGCACACTTTTTTGGATTATACTTGCAAAAAAACTGTCAAAATGAGAAATACATATTGGTCTTACTCAGTCCTCCTATCACCATTCCCAGAGAACCAAAATTTGCAAATCCACAGAGGGCGTAGGTGGCAATGGTTTCAGAATGGATCTAAAACCAAAAAACATACACCACAGACAGAAAATTAATTATTCAGTTGTTGGAAAGTTTGCAGATGATTCAAAATTACTCATGATAGTTAAGTCCAAAGTGAAGAGCTTTAACGGGATCTCACAAAACTGGGTAACTGGGAAACAAAATGGCAGATGAAATTCAGTATTGATAAATGCAAAGTAATGCAGAAAACATAATCTTAACCATACATACAAAATGCACTGGTCAGATTGGCTGGTAGCACTTAAAGAGATCTTGGAGTCACTGTGGATAATGCTCTGAAAACATTTGCACAATGCGGAGTTGCAGTCAAACAAGTTAGCAGAATGTTAGGACCACTAGGAAAGACAGAAAGTTTCATATTGACACTATATAAAACAATGGTACGCCCATACCTTGATTATTACCTGCTGTTCTGGTTGCCCCATCTCAAAAATATACATATTAGAACTTCAGAAGTTCTGGAGAAGGACAGCAAAATGATTAGAGAATTGGAAATGCTTCCATATGAGGAGAGATTAAAACTACTGGGATTTTCAGCTTGGCAAAGTGGTGACTAAGGAGGAATATGATAGAAACCTATAAAATCATGAATTGTGTGGAGAAAGTGTCTAAAGAGGTGTTATTTACCCCTTCACATGACACAAGAACCAAGGGGTGAAGAGCTTTAACGGGATCTCACAAAACTGGGTAACTGGGAAACAAAATGGCAGATGAAATTCAGTATTGATAAATGCAAAGTAATGCAGAAAACATAATCTTAACCATACATACAAAATGCACTGGTCAGATTGGCTGGTAGCACTTAAAGAGATCTTGGAGTCACTGTGGATAATGCTCTGAAAACATTTGCACAATGCGGAGTTGCAGTCAAACAAGTTAGCAGAATGTTAGGACCACTAGGAAAGACAGAAAGTTTCATATTGACACTATATAAAACAATGGTACGCCCATACCTTGATTATTACCTGTTGTTCTGGTTGCCCCATCTCAAAAATATACATATTAGAACTTCAGAAGTTCTGGAGAAGGACAGCAAAATGATTAGAGAATTGGAAATGCTTCCATATGAGGAGAGATTAAAACTACTGGGATTTTCAGCTTGGCAAAGTGGTGACTAAGGAGGAATATGATAGAAACCTATAAAATCATGAATTGTGTGGAGAAAGTGTCTAAAGAGGTGTTATTTACCCCTTCACATGACACAAGAACCAAGGGTCACCTGATGAAATTAGCAGGCAACAGGTTTAAATCAAGCAAAATAAAGTACTTCACACAATGCACAGTCAACCTGTGGAGCTCATTGCCAAGGGATGTTGTGAAGGCCAGTGTATAACGGGATTAAAAAAATGAGTTAAGTTTAATAATTTTTGTTGTTCTTTTCTGTCCTTCTCCAATTTATCCCCATCTTTCCTGAAATGTGGTGCCCAAAACTGGACACAGTCCTCTTGTTGAGGTCTAATCAGTGCAGAGTAGAGCAGAAAAATTACTCCTTGTGTTTTGCTTACAACACTTCTGTTAATACATCCCAGAATGAGGTTTGCTTTTTTTGCAACAGTGTCACACTATGGACTCAAATTTAGCTTGTGGTCCACTATGACCCATAGACCCCTTTCTGCGGTACTCCTTCCTAGACGGTCATTTCCCATTCTGTATGTGTGTAATCGATTGTTTCCAGAACATTTCTTCAGTTTGTCCTGATCATTTTTAATGATAATCCTATCTTCCAAAGCATTTGCAAGCTTTGTATCACCCACAAACTTTATAAACATGCTTTCTATGCCATAATCAAAATTGTTCATGAAAATATTGAATGCAACTGGTTTAAAAATTGATCCCTGTGAAACTCCACTTGTTATACCCTTCCAGCATGACTGTGAATCATTGATGACTACTCTTTGGCAATGGTTATCCAGCCAGTTATGCACCCTCCTTACAGTAGCCCCATCTAGGTTATATTTCCCTAGTTTGTTAATGAGAAGGTCATGTGAGACTGTATCAAATGCTTTACTAAACTCTAAGTATACTACATCTATCGATTGTTTCCAGAACATTTCTTCAGTTTGTCCTGATCATTTTTAATGATAATCCTATCTTCCAAAGCATTTGCAAGCTTTGTATCACCCACAAACTTTATAAACATGCTTTCTATGCCATAATCAAAATTGTTCATGAAAATATTGAATGCAACTGGTTTAAAAATTGATCCCTGTGAAACTCCACTTGTTATACCCTTCCAGCATGACTGTGAATCATTGATGACTACTCTTTGGCAATGGTTATCCAGCCAGTTATGCACCCTCCTTACAGTAGCCCCATCTAGGTTATATTTCCCTAGTTTGTTAATGAGAAGGTCATGTGAGACTGTATCAAATGCTTTACTAAACTCTAAGTATACTACATCTATCACTTCTCGCTAATCCTCAAGGTTTGTTATCCCATGAAAGATAGCTATAAGTTTGGGATGACATCATCTGTTCTTTAAAAATCTATTCTGTTATCTTATTATCTTCTAGATATTGGCAAATGGATTCCTTAATTATTTGCTCCATTATCTTTTCTGGCACAGAAGTTATGCTGACTGGTCTGCAGTTTCCTGGGTTGTCCCTATTTCCCTTTTTATATATGAGCACTTTACTTGCCTTTTTCCAGTCTTCTGAAATCTCTGCTGTTTTCCATGACTTTTCAAAGATGATAGCTAGTGCTTCAGATACCTCCTCAATAATTCTCTTGAGTATTCTAGGATGTACTTCATCAGGCCCTGATGACTTGAAGACATCTAAGTATACTACATCTATCACTTCTCGCTAATCCTCAAGGTTTGTTATCCCATGAAAGAAAGCTATAAGTTTGGGATGACATCATCTGTTCTTTAAAAATCTATTCTGTTATCTTATTATCTTCTAGATATTGGCAAATGGATTCCTTAATTATTTGCTCCATTATCTTTTCTGGCACAGAAGTTATGCTGACTGGTCTGCAGTTTCCTGGGTTGTCCCTATTTCCCTTTTTATATATGAGCACTTTACTTGCCTTTTTCCAGTCTTCTGAAATCTCTGCTGTTTTCCATGACTTTTCAAAGATGATAGCTAGTGCTTCAGATACCTCCTCAATAATTCTCTTGAGTATTCTAGGATGTACTTCATCAGGCCCTGATGACTTGAAGACATCTAACTTTTCTAAGTAATTTTAACTTGTTCTTTTCTTATTTTAACTTTGTTATTCCTTTATTGAGTAATGGCCCTACTCTGTCCTTGGTCTATTCCTTTATTGAGTAATGGTCCTACTCTGTCCTTGGTCTTTCTCTTACTTCCAATATATTAGTAAAATGTTTTCTTGTTACCCTTTACACTTCTAGCTAGTTTGAGCTCATTTTGTGCCTTCACCATTGTAAGTTTGACCCTACATAATTGTGTTATTTGTTTATATATGAGCACTTTACTTGCCTTTTTCCAGTCTTCTGAAATCTCTGCTGTCTTCCATGACTTTTCAAAGATGATAGCTAGTGCTTCAGATACCTCCTCAATAATTCTCCTGAGTATTCTAGGATGTACTTCATCAGGCCCTGATGACTTGAAGACATCTAACTTTTCTAAGTAATTTTAACTTGTTCTTTTCTTATTTTAACTTTGTTATTCCTTTATTGAGTAATGGCCCTACTCTGTCCTTGGTCTTTCTCTTACTTCCAATATATTAGTAAAATGTTGTCTTGTTCCCCCCAGGAGACGCGCGTCTTCCGCGTCGAGAAAAGCCGCTCCGCGTCTCCCTGGTCTGCTGGGAGGGGGGCGCTAGCTCCGCGTCTCCTACCTACCTTCCACTTTTTGTAGGACTCCTTTTTGATTTTTAAATCATTCAAGATCACTTGGTTAAGACAGAGTGGTCTCTTGCCATACTTCCTATCTATTCTCTGAAGTGGAATAGTTTGCTCTTGCAGGCTTTAATACTGTCTCTTAAAAACTGCTGACTGTCTTCCATTGTTTTTCCTCTTAGTCTTGTTTCTCATGAGACCCTTAGGCTGTGTCTAGACTACAAAGTTCTATCGGAAAAAGATATGCAAATTGCAAACCACAATTTGTGTATCTTTTTCCGCTTTTCTACTGAAAGAGTCTTTCCTGACAATTGGCTCATCTACACTAGGCCAAATGTCAGAAAAAAGCCTCTTTCAGAACATCCCCTCTTCCTCAGGGAATGAGGTTTACAGGGATGCTGAAGAAACATGTCTGCTTTTCCAAATTTTTTTTAGGAAAAACAGACACATTCCTTGGACACAGTAGAGCTTTTACAGGATACCAGAGATATCCCAGAAAAACTCTGTAGTCTAGACAAACCCTTACCTACAGCTCCCTGAGTTTGCTAATGTCTGCCTTCTTGAAATCCATTGTTTTTATTTTGCTGCTCTCCCCCTACTTTTCCACCCTTAGGCTGTGTCTAGACTACAAAGTTCTATCGGAAAAAGATATGCAAATTGCAAACCACAATTTGTGTATCTTTTTCCGCTTTTCTACTGAAAGAGTCTTTCCTGACAATTGGCTCATCTACACTAGGCCAAATGTCAGAAAAAAGCCTCTTTCAGAACATCCCCTCTTCCTCAGGGAATGAGGTTTACAGGGATGCTGAAGAAACATGTCTGCTTTTCCAAATTTTTTTTAGGAAAAACAGACACATTCCTTGGACACAGTAGAGCTTTTACAGGATACCAGAGATATCCCAGAAAAACTCTGTAGTCTAGACAAACCCTTACCTACAGCTCCCTGAGTTTGCTAATGTCTGCCTTCTTGAAATCCATTGTTTTTATTTTGCTGCTCTCCCCCTACTTTTCCTTAGAATCATGATCACTTTCACCCAAGTTGCCTTCCACTTTCAAATTCTCAACCAGTTCCTCCCTATTTGTGCATCAATGGTTATAGCCATAATGGCAGGGATGTAGCCTCATGACTGTGAGTGTCTCTAAGTGTCTGACAGCAGCAGCTGGGATTGGACAATAGAGGATAGATCACTCAATGATTGACCTATTGTATTCATTCACTCTGAAGCATTTGGCATTGGCACTGTCAAAGACAGGATGCTGGGCTAGTTGGACCATTGGTCTGACAAAATATGGCCAGTTTTATGTCCTTAAAGTAATTCAGAGATGTGGATTATGGGCTTTACCTGTCCACTGCTGACTCTCATCACAAGTATTTGATGAAAAATGCACCTTGGTCTAGAGAGGATGAAAGATAAGACTGTGTATTAATTCACTCTGAAGCATTTGGCATTGGCACTGTCAAAGACAGGATGCTGGGCTAGTTGGACCATTGGTCTGACAAAATATGGCCAGTTTTATGTCCTTAAAGTAATTCAGAGATGTGGATTATGGGCTTTACCTGTCCACTGCTGACTCTCATCACAAGTATTTGATGAAAAATGCACCTTGGTCTAGAGAGGATGAAAGATAAGACTGAGAGTGAGGAATCCTGAATTTTCTCAGTCCTCCTCTGCCAGTGACTCAGTCTATGGGCAAAATACTTAATTCTTTCTCACTCTGTGGCTACGTCTACACTGGCCCCTTTTTCGAAAGGGGAATGCTAATTTTAAATTTCGGAATAGGGAAATCGCGGGGGATTTAAATATCCCCCGCGGGATTTAAATAAAGATGTCCGCCGCTTTTTTCCGGCTTGGGGAAAAGCCGGAAAAAAAGCGTCTAGACTGGCCCGATCCTCTGGAATAAAGCTCTTATTCCTACTTTGAGGGGGTAATTGGGGGGCTGCAGGAGAGCTTCCACCCCCAGAAGCCCGCAGAGCCAGCCCAGTCCTCCCCATCGGGGGCGCGTACCCCATTCCTCCCTCACCTCCTTCCACTTACCCTTCCCTAGCCCCTCTTCTTGATGTACAAAATAAAGGACAATTGT